GTAGTAGTAGTAGTAGCAGCAGGAGCCGCAGAACCGAGAGTAGAGCATAGCAGATGTCAGGCGAAGCTTGTGGCCGGCAATTGCTTCGGGCCGGATTCTGTGGCATCTAGCAGCCTGGTCCCCTTCCTGGAATGGAATCTGTTCACCTGGCCCCATTGGACCTGCAGGATAGTCCATGCCAAAGTTGAGGGAGATTCTGCTGGCGCGGGCAAAGGACCGGCTGTTGGTTGGCCCTAGTCGTGAAAACCTGGCAGGTAAAGTAGTTTGTGACATCGTGAAACCTTGTCAGGCGAAGTATTGTAGTAGTGCGTGGCGTGGGCTGTGTGGGATGTATCTGCGCGCCAGGAACCTGCCAAGATCCATCCACTGGATCGCACTCCGACGGAACCTGTGCTTCCGGCATCTGCGCATGCGGTTTCGACCCCAGGCCGCAGACGTGCACATCATTCGGCGATTTACTTGTTGGAATCCAGAGAACTTCGCCTTGCCTGTTGTGTAAGAAGAACAGTCTGGCGAAGACATGGCCGCACGAGGAGTCGCAACTGTCGTGTATGGTCCCTGAATACAGAGTATGAAACTGTACTAGTCAAGAAGCCAAATATGGATGCAGATGAGGAAGCTGCAAAGATGCTTCTGTACGATTCACACCAGTTTAGGTCTGTCACCGAAGGTCAAGCTGTCGTATCAAAGTTCCAAACATGGACGCAGGGCTGCAGCACGTGTATTGATTTCCTTTGGCCATCTGGGAATGCGGCATGCGCTGCATGATCAGCGGCCTACAAGGTGGGAAGCCTCAAAGATAATTCACGACCAGGAGGAAGGGAAGATTCTAGGAACTGCCTGCGAGAAGGCTCCGCGACGACAACACGAAAGGATATGCTCTGGCGAAAGCACATGATGATAATGACAACAAAGTCATTACCCTTATTGTCGTGATTGTTTTCGTTGCTGTTCCGATGGACTTGATTAAGATGATTCCTTCGCGGCCCATGTCCTCGTTCTAAACGTGGTAGTCCGGCGCCTGTTCACTGAAGAACCATTAACAAAGAAATGACCATGACGTAAGTATGGAAACTAGCATACAAACACATGTGTGTACACGCAGCTACATGCATGTATGCGTGCACACATATAAAGTACAGACGTAGGTAGACAGACAGATAGCCAGATAGATAGATAAATAGATTGATAGGCAGATGGACAGATAGATCGATAGACAGACTCGTGGAGTCATGATTTTGCCGAGTGCAAAGCCGTGGCCAAGGCGCCCAAGGCGCCAGCCTCGCAGAAGACATCGCTGCCGGTCTCCCAGAGACTCGCAGGGAGGGGCTGTGGAATCCGGGGATCACGACCAGAGGGTTTCTGTTCTCTTCTTCTGAAAGCTGTGATGCAAACCTCAGAGGGTCTTCCGCGATTTTGAGCTGAATAGACTCCCAGCTGCAGCCACAGGCCACCTTTACATCCAGCTCCTCGTGCACCCGGGAACCCGGGGAGAACGGGGAAGGCCGGGTGTATCCGTGGTTCTGACAGGAGCCGTAAAGCTGATGGGTCCAAGCATCGCGGAAAAATCGCGGATCTGGTTTAGGGTTGGTTACCTTATAGGACTCTATATGGGGGTTCACGAAAATAGGGGACCCTAATATACCAATCAGCAGTCTGAATCTGAAATGCACCAAAAACCTGAAAGTTGATGCCACAGTTTCCGAAGAGCAAGGGATCCCAACATAGAAGCCCTGCGAAGCCCTTCCAACAAGCCCGTTACACATCACCCTCCCTACCCACTGGCCCCAGCAGCAGGATCTGCGGGTGGAACATGGCACTAAAAACACCCTGAAACAAGCGTCCGCCCTGCACTCTCAAAACTCCTCCGCTCAAGAAATCCTACAAATCCTCTAACCAGCAGTTGGAAAAGGGCCCTTACAAAAAAATCCTAGATCCCCCGGCCCTGCACCCTAAATCCGAAGCCCTCGAGACCCTGAAGCCGCCTTTTGCATCGCAGGTTCGGCCTCCAAAGCCTGAGGTCGCTTTGGTCGTGCAGAGGATAATGAAGCAGATGTTGATATCTCGCATAATATAACTATATAATATCGTGTACTGGAATATAGTATACTATATTGTAATATAGTATAACATAGTGCAATACAGTATAGTAGAGTATAACACAACAGAATATAATATATCATAGTATAATATAGTATACTGCAACACCCCATAAATTGGTATAGTATAACATCAAATAGAGTATAGTAAATTATAGAATAATAGAATATACTATAATATAATGGAGTCTGGGGTCTAATGTAACATATTACTTGTCTTGGCTTTAGGGGTTGACGGGTGGATGGTTGCAGGGTTAGCCTTCCACAGCACTCACTGTCTGCACATGGCACTTCAAGCTACCGTCATTGGGCAAAGTTTCGGAGTGGCAGGTCACCCAGCTTCCGCCACTGCAAAATCCCAGAGCTGGTAAGGCAGCCGTGGGGCAACAGCGGTTTTTCGACATGTTTACGACGTCAGCTGCTCCTGCTGATGCTGTTTGCAATGTTGCGGTGCAGGTTCCTGCATACCTGAAGCGACGGCAGGCCAAGATCCAAGATGCTAAGCAAGTTGCATTGGAATCCGACTGTCAAGGGCTCTTCTTTATGCAGGCTCCTTCTTGCACGGGCTGGGCCTGGGGTGCTTGATGTTTGAACTGCCATAGCTCCCAGGCGCTTTAATATTTCGGGGCTGCTCATCGGGTTCCCCCAGTGATGCCGACGTCTTCCCTCGACGCTTGCTGCGAATTGGGACCGAGCCCTTCGAGGGTCTTTCTGACAGCTTTGTTCAAGTCCTCGAGTGCACGGAGGATTCCCTACCACGGCCCCACACCCGAAGCCCTCAAAGAACCCAAGTAGTACCATGTAGTAAGTAGTACCATGAATCCTCAATCCGAAGCCCTCAAGCGGTCAGCAGATTACGGGCTACAGAAAACAATGATGATCCCCCGAAGTGACCCCGAGAATTCCAGGCCGAGCTGGCGGAACACAGGCCAATTTTCTCAGAGACTTCTCTCTTCTTGAGCTGGGAGAACTGTGCCTGAGGGGATGTGATGGGCTCTTTTTTTTGATTCCCCCTCCTCTT